AGGCCACAGTTGCGTCAACCCACTCTCCAAGCCATGGAATATGGGCTGGGAGAGCTTACGATGGACAGACGTCAAATACCTCCACCACGGCACGACACTTCGTGCCTGGCGAAGCATCCTCAAGTCAGGGATTATTCCAGGCTGTGTCGATCAGTCTCAGAGAGACAAGCGCGAAAGAGGTTCACAACGCTCGGAGGCATTCTACAGTTCCAGCACCTACGTGCACATCGCCAAAAAGAACCCTCACACCTCGGCCCAACCGTACAAGTTCAAGCACTACAAGAATGAGGTGGAGCTCGTGATCGACATGCACATTGCCACGAAGGCTGGATGCAGATTTTGGCTGGGAGCACAGGGCGCTATCATGACTGAGGAGGTGGTTCCAGCTGCCGCAATACTCGCCATTCGCCGTCTCGCACCATACCGCGAGGCAGGCAAGCAGTTGTGGCCAGAAATGGGCCCCATGTGGGACTATCCGCCGCTGGCTCCGAGACAACCATTGAGCAAATACGAGATCTGCGCTGTTCCTCCTGGAACGGACACAATTGATGATCCTCCTGGGATTGCCCCAACTGCCAAGGCCTACGACACGGCTCAGCGGCCGCGGACACAGTCCGCTTCAGCATCATCGGCCCAGCAACCCATCGCCCCTCCGCTGGGGGGCGACCCCTGCTGGCCATACAGCTGACGCCGACGCCTTGGATGAGGCCATCGTCCGTAACATGGTCAGCAGTTGCGAGCACAACGCACAGGATAAATAATGGTTGATCGCTATGTCACATTGCAGAGACGCTCTCCGACCCATTACAGCAAATATTACACAGAGAGAGTGGGACCGACGGCCCTTCTTCAATGACGTCCGCAGGGGGGACTTCATTATCGTCAAAAATTGGGGTTCAACCAATTGCTATCACTACGACAATCACTGCCCCAAGGGCAACTACAACACGAAAGTCCGCATGAACAAGGGCCATAGTTATGGACCAGTCATGCACTTCGGAGTCTTCGAGAAGTTCTTTGCAGTGCAAATACCTATCCTCAACTACGGTTTACGATGGGTACACATATGGTATTGCGACAAAAACATGCCCCTCAGGGGAGTCATCTTCGCTTTGCCAGTACGCGCCGACATCAACCCTGTTCACTTGAATGTCGCACTTCAGGGCCCATCTTCATGCAGTGATCAGATCAATGCATTTAAACAAACAGGTGACCTTCCATATCTTGGAATGCCGAGCGTTTACAAACCACGCATCCCACGTACGCCGACCAGACGCCCCGCTCCTCGGACACCCGATCCCGACGAGCTGGTGGCGACACCTGCCGAGGACCCCACGGCAGACGACGAGGGATCCCGACACGACGCAGGCCAATCCAACGATCCTCTAGTCACTGTCATCGTCGACATATCGACCATACCGCTAACAGAGGAGGAAAGAGCAGCCAATGATACCATGAAGGCCGATTTATCGGCGGAGATTCACGCTGATGAGGACGTTGGCTCGTCCATCCTTGACAACATCATTGATCCGCCAGACGATTTCCTCAACCATCCCGACTATGACCCAGAGGACCATACTAAATGGATTATGTCCTCTTACAACCACCGCGTATACCGCTGGACATCGGAACCACTGGTGGACTCTCCAATGATAAAGGTGAGACAAATTATTGAGCTACACGCTGGCAGGACCGACCTCGTGGTGGACAAGATAGAGTCATGCCTGCGGTTTGAGATACAAGTCGGTCCGAAAACGGACGCATGCCAATTGGATTATGATCATACGCATAAATGGGCACGCGACTTACCAATATGCAGTGCAGATTACTTCTTCAAAAAGATGGTACATTATCTTGACCCAGAGATCATTGAGGAATCGGCCACGGGCATATTTCAATGGATTTCCAACGTATACCAAATTATATTGTTGGACAGCATCAAGGAGCTGCATCAGTTCACCAACGCTGCCATCAATCAGAACCATCATGCCCTCAATGCGTTGTGTGCTTTCTTTACAGAGTGCATCAAGACACATGGAAGCCCAGGCTTCCCCGTATGGAGGGAGCCTGTGGAAACGCCTGCTGCGCCTGACCAAGACGATCCAGGCGCCAAGCAGGATATCCCCAGGGACCCAGGTAGCGTCGCTTCGGCAGCTCCTGATCAAGAGACCATGGTACAGGTCACAGCCGAGATGCAGAACATCGACCGCGAGGTGGGCGATATCGAGGCCGTCTTGCAGGCAGAGGCTACCCGCATTCGTGCGGACAAGGACGCACGCCATGGTGAAATGGACACCGTGGACACCGACACCTCCGGGTACGCAGGACTACCGGGGGAAAGGCTGTCGAGGATCGAGATCGAGGGGATCGGCCGATCGATCGCTTCCCGTCCGACCGCAGAGGTCCATCGCGAGGCGATGAACCAGGTAGGTCGTTCCCTTGCGTCGAATGATGGTGGCACCACCCGTTGGGGATCTCTCAGGGATCTCGCCACTTCCGGGGCTCCTGAAGCGATCCAGTATGATATAGCGCGATGTCGGAATTGCGATCGCTTCCTCTCCCTGGGAATCGTCACGGGCGACGGGACAATTTGTGATATCTGCTGGCAGCACGGTGTCCCCGTAGGTGCCACGGGCAAAGGTGGCGCCGAGGAAAGCGACCTGGCGTACCTCCAGCAGTTGAACTACTGGATCAAGGCGAATCTCTCCCTGGACGATGTCAACCGGCACATGTCAGATGGAGCGCGCGTCTACATGATGGGCAAACGCTCCAAGGCTGGCCAGGAGAAGGATACCTTGAGGAAACATGCGAAGAAGGCAGACGAGAGGCATCAGAGGCGGCTTGACGCAGGCCCCCCCCCCTGCACACATGTGCAGGATGATGGGCGAGAGGCTGAGGATCAGCGACCTCTATACCACCCCTTCCGCAATGTCGCACAGCGTTTCCTCAATGACCCGCGTTTCCGCCACCAGATGACTGCCGCTCGCGTTGAGACTGGCAAGCAGGCCTGGACCATCGATGACACGCGCGACGCTTGCGACATCTACGATCGCAGCGTTAGGCTTGGCTTCGCTGGTCGCAGGAACTGGCGGTTGAACGACGGTAGACTCGACAGAGGCACCAGGCAAGAGCGTGGCCTTGTCACGATTGCTTTGCCCCGCGGGGACGGCACTTGTGAGAAGGTGACGCAGCGCAAGCTTGCCAAACTGGCCTCCGTCGAACCTGCCGCGGGATCTGCCAGTCCAACGGGGTGAGTTCAGGGGTTAGAACCGATCCTAACGACCCCGTCACACACTCCTCACACACACACATGGCGCCATGGAGCCGCAGCAGCCGCGGCGCCCGCCGCCGCCTCGCCCTGCCCACGGCGATGCCGCTGGATCCCGCGCCTCTGGTGCGCAGGCTGACATGCCCGCTGGGCCGCGCGGCGCGGCCGCCGCACAGCGGCAGAGCGGCGACGCCAGCCGCAGACCGACAACGCCTCCACGTGCCAAGCGGGCGCGCACGACAGTGGACTACGCGACGCGGTGGCGCCACATCCTAGAGGACAGCCAGTGGGGCCCCAGATACTGGAGCTACTACGCCAAGTGCCGGACATACATCGCGGACAACAGCGACGAGTTCGCGTGCGTCCGCGACCTGCTGCACAACGAGCGGTTCCGCAACTGGACCCCAAGGACGCCTTGGGAGACATTCACGACGAGCTACGTCGAGAATGATGGCCACAGGGCGTGGGACCAGAGGATCTACATGAGAGGCAATTCGTAGTTTTGTTGGCCGCGAGGCCCACTGCTCGATCGGCTTGAACTTCATCTTTATACAAGTTCGCCTCGAGCAGTGATTACTAATATAATATTTGGCCACTTCACCATGCAAGATAAGTGGCCACACGCACAACTTGTGAAACCCAAGGCAGACCCCTAAGGAGCATCGCCGATGGGGAGTAACCAATTGCAGCATTTGTCAATGTAGTTTTTCGTGTTTATCAACACGACTCTACGCCTGGCCAGGCATTTGTTTTGATGCTTAGACGTGTTTCTTGTAACGATCGTGTTCCTCAACACGACTTGATATTGCACATTTTTCTTGCTTATTATTTACAGTACAATTTGAGATTACATTGCGTTGAGAACGATATGATGCCCAGCTTTGGTTTGAAAGCTGGTGGCAACACCTGCCGCGTGCAGACGCGGCAGCTTCTGATGCTGTTTTAATTTACTCAGATCCTCTTGCTCCGCCCACCCGTGTCTCATTCTTCTCCGCCCTCGAGTGCCGAAGCGTTCTTTGGGGGCGCACCGAGGGGGCACCAAAGTGCGCTTGGCGAAGAATCAGGGACCCTGGGTCTTCCTTCTTACCCTTACTTGCCTGATCATGACAGCTACTGTGCTACGCTACTTTTTGCACACCGCTGCCGTGATCAGGATGCAGCTGAAGCGGTACAGATTTCGCGCTCAGCTGCCTTGCAGTGCTGAGGATTTGAGGAGTAAAAGGGTGACAGGTTCTTTTCTCTTTTTTCCCGAGTCCTGCCCTTGCGGGCGGGATTCGGGACCCGTATAATACCTTCATATATACTCCTTATCCTCACCTCTCCTGCGCCTGGCCGTTTGGGCTGAGGTATTGGAATAGATCGATCAGACCTTTGATCGTGCAGGAGGAAAAGATATCCATCTTTCCCTCCTTTCCTCTACCAACGGATCAGGGGTTCTGTACCTTTGTACTCTAACCCCATACACAGATCCCGAGACCGCGCGCTCCTGGGCAGGGCGAGCCATCAGGCCTCGTCGGCCATGACTGAGCGATCGGGGAACGAACGCATCGACCCCCGATGACCCATTCATCGCCGCGGAGGGCCTGATGGCCCATCCCGCCCGAGAGCGTGCGGTTTCGCGATCGACGGTCTATCGCAGATCTATCGGTAATGTACCGCCGATGGCGGGCCGATGTTCCCCCCCCCCACACCCCTTGAGAGCCGGTCATCCCCTCATCGCCCCCCTCAGAAGGCCGGAGCAGCAGGGGAGCACAAGGCTGCAGACCTGGCCGCCACCATCGGGAGACTACCAAGACGGCATGGAGCAGGAGCCTTCGGAGGTCCGTGCGGAGTTCGCTGGTCGGCGCTCGACCCTTCCAGCATGGCTCTGCGCGCCAGGGCAGGCGTGTGGGAAGGGGTCCCAGGGCCGACCGGTCCGGGAAGTCCCGGCGAGCCTCCGAAGCTGTCTGTGCGTGTCCGCACTGCGGGTCCTCCAGCCGTCCGCACGGCGGAGTTCTGGATTTCACTCCTCGAGGGAGAGCATTCTGAGCTCGTTGAGGAGGCCAAGAAGCACAAGCAGCGCCTGCAAGACTCCAGGCGGGTGGCGGAGGCGAAGGCGAGCGCCCTGCGCGAGAGCGACGGCGAGAAGCGGCGCCTCGAGGCCGAGCTGAAGTGGCTGAGAGAGTCTCGCGACAAGGCCATCTGCGAGCGCAGCATCGCCAAGGACAGCAACCAGCGCATCGAGAAGAACAGCAAGCTGGACAGAGATGAGCTGGTGGCGAAGGCGGACTCGCTGGAGGAGGTCCTCGAGCGGGAGAAGGAGGACAAGTGGAGGCTGGAACATAACTTGGTTCAGACCAAGGTGCGGTATGCCAACGTCCTCCAGCAGAAGGACAGCATGGAGTGCCTCATATCCTACTACGAAGATCAGCTCAAGGCCCTCGTCCCATCGTTCGAGAAGGTGGACCTCAACACAGCGGCCGCGTGGCTGCGGCCGATAAGATCGCCGGACGTCGTCTCCTGCAGGGACTCCGAGCTCCAGAGCAACGCCTCGTCGCAGGACCTCGACACCGCCAGGTCGAGGACCACCAACTTCGGCCTCACGCCCCCCCTGGAGGCGCAGTCGACCGAGTCGCAGCCGGGCAAGAGCCGGGGCCTGATGAAGCTCGCCAAGATCCGGACCACTCGCAGGGGGCGGTCGTACACGCCACGGCCAACCTGGGCAGGGCCGACCTGGGCCACGGGGTGGGGTGCAGGGCCTCCATGGTCTGGGCTAGGAGGGTTCGATATGCCATCCCAGGGCCCAGGATGGCCCTGGCCAGGGTGATGGTTGTGGCATACTCGGATCACGGCGGGGCTTGCTACGGTGATAGGAGGGTTACAAGTGGATGCCAAGGTGGGTGATATCTGGCCTAACTTGGCGCAAAAGTAGGATACAAGTGGCCCAAGTGGCTCAGGGGGCTGAGATAACTCCGCTAAAGAGGGCGGACCCCCTCAGCCCGGATCTTCACCCCCCTAAGCCCCTCTCGCCCCCCCCGCTCAAGCCAAGTCAGGCTGGACATAACCCACACTGGCATCAAATTAAAACCCCCCTATCTACTCAGCAGCCTCCGCGCGGCAAGCTCGGTAGGCTCGCGTTCAAGGCGGAGCGATCCCCGCGGGGTCAGGAGACCAACGCCAGGGTCGACACGACGCGAACTTGCCGCACAGCTTCCGTCTCCGAAGGACCATGTTCAACAAGTCCCTCACGGGCGAGAAGGACAAGGATCGGCGGCGAGCGAGGGAGGGAAGTGAGAAGGAGAAGGCCTTCTCAGACGGCGGCGGGGCTCCTCAGAAGCCAGCGGGCCTTCTGAGGAGTTTTCTGTGCCTTTGGGGACAGCTTGAGAAACTGTTCAAAAGGCAGGGGGACTCTGTCGAAGAAGAAAAAAAAAAACAGAAACATAAGCTTTTGGCGCTACGCGCGGATTTCTTGGATCCGCGCTGGGCCCCCCCTGCGGCGCCGCCCCTGGCGCGCTCCGCACGCCAGGAAGGGTGGTCCGGCGCAGATCCGAGAGGCTCGCGCGGAGCGCAAAAACTTCACGCTTACGCGGCTTTTCCTTCCTCTACTCCGAGCCTTCTGGGAAGGCCCCCCTCCTCTCACTTCTGATGGGCATGTTTTCCTCCACCACCACCACCACAAGTTGGAGAGGGAAAGGAGGGGAGGAGGAGGAGGAGGAGGAGGAGGAGGAGGAGGAGGAGGAGGACCCTCTCCGTGCCTCCCCCTCCTATTTCTGGTGGTGGTGGTGGTGGTGGTGGAAAACAAGCCCACCAACTTCCCCCCCTCAGTGTTGCTAGAAGTGCCCCTGGCCCAAGGTGCCCCCAGCTTTTCGCTCCACTTTGGAGCCCCTGGGGCCCTCTGGGCCTCGTGAGGGGTGCTCTGGAGGCCGCCCGGCCCCCCCCCCGTGAATCCTGGGGGCACCTTGGGCCAGGGGCACTTCTAGCAACACCCGAAAGGGGGGGGGGGGGAAGTTGGTGGGCTTGTTTTCCACCACCACCACCAGAAATAGGAGGGGGAGGCACGGAGGGGGTCCTCCTCCTCCCTCCTCCTCCTCCTCCTCCTCCTCCTCCTCCTCCTCCTTCATCTTTCTTCTTTCTCCTCCTCCTCCCTCCTCCTCCTCCTCCTCCTCCTCCTCCTCTTTCTCCTCCTCCTCCTCCTCCTCCTCCTCCTCCTCCTCGTCGTCCTCGTCCTCCCAAAAGAGGAGGCCCACCGGCAGAGCAGCTCGTCGAGGCCGGCCAAGGGGGCGCCGGCCGTCGAGCAGCCGCCGGCCTGCGGCCCCGGCCAGTCGGTGAGCGGCCGACGGCGCTCCCAGCGCTCCGGCGCCTCGAGAGAATGTCGAGACTCTCGGGGGCGGCAGAGAGGGGGGTGACGATTATCGGTCCGGAGAAAGGTCGGGTATGGCCAGGGCCCCGGGTAAGGGGACCCGGTTAGTGGTAGGGCCCTGGGGCCCCTGAATTGGCCTGATTCACTAAAACCAGGTTTGCCGTAACTGGTGTTTTTCGGGTGACGGCAGTTCCGATTAGTGGAAATGGGGCGGGAGGGCGCCCCCGGTACAAATCACTAAACCAGGTTCCACTAAACCCAGTTCTGCCAACGCCCGAAAAAGGGTGAGATTGAGAAAGGAAGGGGTACGAAATCTGCTGCCATGCAGCTGGTTTCGGCCCCACCGAGAGCCAATTCCTCGATACGGCCGCCTCCCGGCGCCGGGAGGCGCCGGGAAAATCAGCTACGCGAGCTGATTCTCAAACCCTCCCTTTGCTAGCCCCCCCTTTCGCCCGACCCGAGAAGATGTCGAGACTCTCGGGGGCGGCAAAGAGGGGGGTGACGACTAGGGGGGGGGGGGTACCATGAAGTGGGCCACGCATGAGATTTCCGCAGATTTCATGGCGCCTCCTCTTACTTCAGTGCGTTCCCTGGCCCCTCCCTTGGGGCCGCGCACAGGCCGCCAGCCATGATTTGGATGCCCCCCTCTTGGCCGCCCTGGGCTTCGCGTAAGGGGGGGGGGGCGATAAAATGGGAGGGCAGCGAGGGCTGCAGAGAAGAAGCCCTGCACAGGGCCCCTACAGCGGAGGAGGAAGAACGCCACAAACATAATACTTGTGGCGCTTTGCGCAGATTTCCTGGACCAGCGCCCGGGCCCCTCCGGGCGGCGCCTCCAGCGCCGCCCCTGGCGCGCGGAGCGCGCCAGGGGCGGGGGCCCAGCGCAGATCCAAGAAATCCGCGCGGAGCGCCAAAAGTTTTATGTTTGTAGACGCGTATGTTTCCTCATCTGTGGTGTCTTTTTGCTTTGCGCTGGAAAAAAAGAAGATGGAACAACAAAAAAACGTCTAAGAAATGAGGGGGCAGCGAGGGCTGCAGAAAAGAAGCCCTTGAGGGCCCGTAGAGGGGCTCATTATAGGGCCCTCAACGGGGCCTCTGTAGGGCCCGAAAAATGCGCACCTCTCTCCCCCCCTCAAGTTGTCGCCCCGCCCATTCAGCGACGCCCAGAGACGGCTCTCCCAGAGCTCCGGCGTCTCGAAAAAGTCGAGACGGAGGTTTTGCCTCGCTTTGGGCCTCTCGGGGCCCTTGCCGGGCCTCGGGGCCGTCCAGATGCGGCTCGGGATGAGCAACGGGTCCCGGGGAAGCGGTCGAGGGATCGGGGGCCAGCGTCTCGAAGCAGCGGAGGCGCGCCAGGTGTCTGGGCCGGGGCGACGGACGAAAACGGGGCTGCTTGCGCCGACGTTCGCGAGGAAGCCTCCCGCATCAGGTGGCGCGCAGGCGCCCGCGTGTCCAGTGTGGCGTGCCGTGCGGGCGGCCCGCGCAGGCCATCACGCGAGTTCGCTGCAGTCGGGGCCCTGAAGAAGGAACCCTTCTCGTTGGGGAGGGGCTCCGTGTTCCTTGGTTGCTTTGCAGTGCTCCTTGGGTTCTCCTGCGGTTTTCCATGGGATATCGGAGTTTCACTTATGGGAGAAAGGGGCCCCGTTCCTTATTTATCGTTCCTTAGGTCGGCTCCCCGACTGGATGCCATCTCGCGTGCGATCGGACCGAGGTGGGGGGTCGGGGTCGGTTCGGGGCGGGTCCCCCAATGTGCTTCGTGCTTTGTCGGATGCCCTCGTGCATCCTGGGCGAGGGCATCCTCGAATGCTCTTCGGCTTGGCCCGGCGGAGGGTCTCATGCTCTTGCAGGATGGGTCCAGTTGCAGATGGGGTCGGGGAATCGCGCCGCATCGCCCATGCCTCGGCGATGCGGCTCGATGCGAAGCCCAATCCTCCTCTGTCCTAGGTCGCCGTAAGCCGCCACGTAAGCTAGCTGTGCCATCTCGCGGCAGGCCCGCTCCTTTGCTTCGCCGCGGGTCTGTACGCCGCCAGGGCCGTGCCTGGCCGGGGTGGTCCTCGTGGTCCCCAGGATGGTGCACAGCAGGCGCAGCAATGGCGGGCCTGTTTCGGTCCGATCGATCCGATTCGATACCCGTCCTGGCCGACGCGATCCGATTCGATTCCGACTTGCCAGCTATCCGACGACGTTTGAGCTCTGCATGGCGCTGTGGCGCACCCTGGCGCGGGCGATCCGATCCGATCTCGACTCTGTTGCCGATGCACACCGATCTGGGGCGCATTTCGGCTGATTTCCCGAGCTGGTGTTGGCTGACTGATCCTGCATCAACTGAGAGAGGCCAGCCTGCCAGCTGGTGCCCTACGGAACCGTCTTGCCCCCCCGAAGGCTCTGGGGATCCGCAGGAGTCCCGGGGCTGCATGGAGTGGTCGAGCATACGATTAAGAATCCTCTTCCCGAAAAGTTGGGCCAGCGTTGCTTCGCCAACTTGCCGGAAAGCTGGCCCTGTTCCTCGGAGAACGGGGGATACTGGGGTGGCGGTCTGGGGGTCCGCCGCGCGGCACGATTTACTTCCGAGGTGCGCGTTGCAACGCGGGCGGGGGTGAGAAGGAGGGCGACATAGATCGAGAGAGAGAGAGGGAGCAGCGCGGTATGGGGGGGGGGAGAGGGAGGGAGTGGGAGAGGGAGGAAAGGACGAGAGGCCAGAACGCCCCCCCCCTACCCTCTCGCCCGCGGCGCTGCCTGGGGGGGAGGTGTGGGTGTGGGGTGGGGGGGGAACAAACAAAAAAACAACAAAACAAATCTGCGTGACCATCCAGTTTTTTTTTTTTTTTTGTTTTGCTCCCCCCCCAGGCGCTCCCCAGATACCCCCCGTCCCTCTGACGCCCCCTCGCCATCGCCCCCCCGCCACGCGTTACCTCTCCTCCTGTTTTGCTCACCTCCGCCCAAGCCCCTTGCCCTCTTCACGGCGCCCCAAGCCACGACTGTTTTAATCTATGGCCCTCAATCACACTGAGGGGTACTGATTGTTTCAATCACATTCAGGGCCCTGGGCCTAATGTGATTAAAACAATTACATTGAGGGGCACTGGTTGTTTCACTCACATTCAGGGCCCTGGGCCAAATGTGCTTGAGTTCGCCGATGAGAGCGACTATATACATATAATGAAAACATTCACATTGGGGGCATTGATTGTTTCAATCACTTTCAGCGCCGTTGGCCGTGTGTGATTACGAACAATCGCGTTGAGGGGCGCTAGTTGCTCCAATAACATTCATTCAAGGCCATGGCCCCGAGGCCTGGGAGAGGGGGGGGACCCCTCCAAAAAAAAACACAGACCGCCCAACCTGACAGTTTTCGTGTTGTGTCTCATCTTTCTTGTGCCCCCCACCCCCAAAAAAGGCCTCAGGGCCCTGGCCCTGAATGTGATTGAAACAGTCAGTGCGCTTCAACGTGATTGTTTTAATGTTCGGCCTTCAATCACGTTGGGGGGTATTGATTGTTTCAATCAAACTCAGGGCCCTGGGCCTCATGTGAATAAAACAACGACATCGAGAGCTACCGATGCCAAGCATTGCTAAGGGGCCTTGCGGGAGAGGTATCGCAGCCTGAATCGAGGCCTCGCAGCCATTGGTGGAATGCTTCGGAGTCTGCTGGGCAAGCCTGTGGGAGAACCTCGTTGGATACCCTGAGCCTTTTTGGGGGACGCTCCAGCGCTGAGGAATATGCCGTCTTGGCATGGGCGATGCACTGTTGTTGATCATGCTTAGAGTTGCTCGACATCGGGTGGTCGTGATTAGCGTGGCGTGGCATTGGTTGGTCGTGCTTGACATAGCTCGGTCGTGCTTAATTTGGTAGCCGTGCTTGGAGTTGCTTGACGTTGGCGGTCGGATGGCCATTGGCATTCCTGGGCATTTCGGTCGTGCTCGACATTGGTTCGCCGTGCTCGGCATTTGGTGTTCGTGCTTCGCATTGCTTGGCATTGCCTGTTCCTGCTCGGCACAGCCTGGCAATGTGTGGTCGTGCTTGGCGTTCCTTGGAATTGATTGCTTGGAATTGCTTCGCAAGGAGCGGTCGTCCTTGGCATTGCTTGGCATTGTTGGCAATGCTATGCATCGCCTGGCGTTGATTGCCATTTTTACTGGTTGTGTTTGGCGTTGATCGGCGTTGCGTATTTCGGCTTGGCATCGCTTGGCGATGTGCGGTCCTGCTTGGCATTGCTTGGCATTGCTTGCTCATGATTGGTATCGGTTGGCTTCGTGCGGTCGTACTTGGCGTATCCTAGCATTGGGTGCTCGTGCATGGCATTGTTTGGCCGTGCCGGGCATTGGCCGGTCGAGCTCGGCGCTGCTTAGCTTTGGTTGGTCGTGCTTGGCACGAAGTGCCCCACCCCCAAGGCCTTTCGGATAAGCCTTCAGGGCCTTTCGGGGCAAGCAATGGCAAACACGACCAACCAATATACAGCGATGCCAAGCACGGGTCACCAGTGGATCACCACTTGGGCGACTGTCCCACCAATGGAATTCCCTGGGGTGGCTGGCCCACAGACAGACATTCCTTGGAGTGGATGGGTTTACCAGCGTACCTCCCCTGGCCATAGGCGGGCGAAAGGAGTCGCAGGAGAGGATGGTCCGAACTGGACCGCCCCTGGAGTGGAGGGCCCGCCAGTGGACTTTCTGGTGTGGAGAATTCTCTGGCGTGGAGATTTCATTAGTGCCCCCCACTTGGTGTGGCATGTCCACCAGTGCTATCGCAAAACACTCGGTCTCCTTTCTGCTGCGCTGCTGCAAAGTCACGTTGGCGGGGTTTGCCGCAGGCAGCTTGATGTGTATATATATATGTGTATATATACATATATATATATATACATATATATACATATATATATATATATATATATATATGTAAATATAAATCGGAGTAGGGCAGGGCCCGGGGGCGGCCCGGGGCGCTGCCAGTAATCTCCATGGGGGGTG